CGGCAACCGCATCACGGATGCGGGTCTGAAGAGGCTGCTCGGCGTGGTGCGGTACAGCAAGGTGCGCTGCTCGCGCCTGGCGGTGTGCGACAACGCGCTGTCCGACCCGCACGCCTTGGTGGAGCTGCTCCTGGACCAAACCTGCGGGCTGGTCCAGGTCAGGAGCAACGACATCAGAGGAGGGCGAGCTGAGACAATGGCAGTCGGCCTTCGTGGGGGGGGGGGGGGGGGGGCTCGTCGCCATGGCTGGACGCAGCTTGGAAAACTGTTGGGTTTGCGCCTGGGGAGGGGACCAGGGTCTGATTTTGAGTCGCCGTTGTTTCAGCTCGCCCTGCTCTGGCGACGGGGGGGCGGACTGCCTGTCGTTTTGCGTTGCTGCTGAGCCTCCTGGAGACGGGGATCGAACGAAAGGGTAGGTTCGTCTGCTGAATGCAGCCGCTTGCGGCCCCGCCGCCGTGCACCCTTCCTCGATAGTCGATACGCGGGCGCCTCTGGGCGCCGGGTGGCGCCTTTTGAAAAAGCAGCCGACTGCGTCAATTCATTCGCCAACCCCCCTTTGACTACCCACACCCCTTCGTCTGATCCGAGAGGCGCCCCGTCGCCACAGCTGGAAATCCGCCTCGGACCACGGGGCAGGAGGGACCGCGGCAGGGGTCAAGCGGCCGAGTTTGGGCGGGGTGGGGCAGCGCGGGATCTGGGGCGCTGACAGAGGTCCGGTGGTTCAGAGATGGGGTCTTGAGGGATGTGGTCCATGCGTTGGCCCTCGACGGCCCATCGCCAATGCGCTGGCGATGCATCGTCGATGCCAAGCCCACGTTTCCGGGTTCAGCATCCTTTCGCCGACCCCCGTCCCACTGAGCCATGGCATCTCAGCCCCACCATCTCGCCCCCCCCCAGTTGGGAATATCCCCTCCGAAACCCGAAAGGAACAGCCTGCATCCCCATCTAGGGGGTAAATCAGCCAGTGGGGCCCAGGCCACACCAGTGGGGATAGGTCGGCGACTACACAGGGTGTGGTTACGCCAGGGTGTGGTGTGCGATCGGCGCCGTTGCGGCCAGGGGGCACGACGCTGTCCTCGTCGGGCCTCCTCGGGGCTGGGCGGAGAACTCCGCCGAGGTCCCGCCCGCCGCCCCAGGGTGCACCCCAGGGGTGCCGGTTGCAGACCACAGCCTTTGCAATCCTTCCTCCTTCTCCTCCTCCTCCTCTTCCTCCTCCTCCTCCTCCTCCTCCTCCTCTTCCTTCTCCTCCTCCTCCTCCTCTCCTCCTCCTCCTCCCCTCCTCCTCCTCCTCCTCCTCCTCCTCCTCCTCCTCCTCCTCCTCCCCCTCCTCCTCCCCTCCTCCTCCTCCTCCTCCTCTCCCCCTCCTCCTCCTCCTCCTCCTCCTCCTCCTCCTGATTCTCCTCCTCCTCCTCCTCCTCCTCCTCCTCCTCCTCCTCCTCCTCCTCCTCATTCTCCTCCGGGGTGATCTCGCGAGGACGCGAAGATGACCGCGCGCCGCGCATCGCGAGGGCGCGGCGCGCGAAGTGGGGTGATCCAGATGTTCCCGCGTTCCCCCCCTCCCCTGGGGCGCGCGAGGTTGGGTGGCCCAGATGTTCCCACGTTTTCCCCCCTCCCCCTGGGCATGTCCACCATCGGTGCCTGCTGGGGGTCTGAGGTGGCCCAGCACTGGTTCCGGCGAGCAAGGAGGAGGGAAACAGGTCCGAGGTGCTGGGCTCGAGAAGGTTTTTTGTCTTTTTCAGCCTCTTGGGGCCGTGTCCAGATCTGGGGTGAAGAATTGCACCAGATGTGTCCCCGGAGGTCTCTCGGGATCGATGTTTGATCGGATTCGGCGTCATCTCCCTTCCAGCCCGACGTTCTGGGTCCCAGTCTGTTCAGACCCCCCGGCCGCCTCCAAGTCCCACCCTCTCGTTTGGGACACGTGTCAGGTAGCTCGCCTGAGTCGCCTGGAGACCTTTCGATTCGCATCGCGGCTGCTGCCGCCGCATTGTGGATTCGAGCAGGGTTGGTCGCGATGAGCTCCTCCCTTGAAAAACTCCTGCGAGGGTAAGCTCAGCATCGGCGCTGGTATATCAGTGGTTGAATCCGGCTGAATGTTGCCCAATCTGGCTCACACATGGGCCGAATCCAGCCCAGTCTCGAATCCCCACTGGGCTTAGTAGCCCTTAGTCGTTCTCACGAAGACCTCCCAGGAGATGCTTCCCCAGAGCCAGTCCCCCATACTCCCGACGTCGTGATTTTATCGTAGCTTGGATCCCTTGAGGTCTGGACCCCTTCCATGGGACCGACTTTCCATCACGATTCGTTGTTTGACGGTCCCGAGGCTTGGTGAGGGCACCAAGAGGCCGAAGATAGCGAACAAAATGTTCCGCCGTGATTACATGCCTCTCAGATGCGGTCGCAGTAGATGGGGTCGGAGGATCGCGCCGCATCGCCGAAGCATCGGCGGGGGCCGATGTGGAGCCCGAGTACCTCCGCGCCGACGTCGCCGATGCACCACCGACGCGGAAGAACACGGTCGTCTGCATCGACATTGGCGCGTAAGTTGCCCGCGTAAGATGGCACGCCAGCGACCTCGTCTCCAATCTGGTGTGCCGCGCTGGCGGCCCGCGTAGATTGCGGCGCGAGGTCGCTATGCCATCTCGCGTAAGACCAGTTTCTTTTCGACGCTCGGGAGACCACTGGTGATGTCTTCACGGCGCGAGGGGGGCCCTGGGCGAGCCTTGCCGCCCCACGCCGTCAGGGGGCCGACCTCGAGCTCTCGCTCACGGCGTCGGGGCTCTCCAACGAGGCGTCGGGGCTCGAGCCAAACCGTGCCAGGGCGATTTCGTCTACCGTTTTCATCCTGCAGCGCAGAATCGGGAGGGACAAAGTGACCCAAACACTGACAAGCATAGATTATCATTGACATCTTGGGATTGGGCATTCCTGAATGTGGGTCGACATCCTTGAATGTGGGTCGATTCATGAGTGTCTCCCTGGACCCCCCTTTCAAAGGAACGACGAGGGACAAAATTCGCCGGCCGAACGGGCCAGAGGCGTGCTACGATCTCCGGTCACTGGTCAACAGTATAACGGTACTTCTAGTTGGCGCGCGCGGGGCGGCTCTTGGGGGCTCCCGGGCGAAAAGTACCCCGACCAACCCCCGACCAGGTCCCGACCAACCCCCGGGCAGGTCCCCGGCAGGTCCTGGGAGCGCGCCCAAAGGGCCCCGAGATGCCCCGGAGACGGTCCAAGAGGGCTCCGAGTCGCTGAAAGACCGTTCCAAGACGCCAAACATAGCCCTCAGACAGCCCTCCAAGAAGCCCCAAGAGAGTCTCAAGAGGCCCTCCAAGAAGGTCCCAAGAAGCACAGATTGCGCCATTCCCGTAGGAAAGCGTACATTTCTCGCATCTACCATTCTTGATGCTTCACAGCGTACAAGACTGCCCAAGCGCCCCCAAGATCGCCCCAAGAGGGCCCAACAGGCCTCCAAGATAAGCTCAAGAGAGCCTCAAGACAGCCACGCCCCAAGAGGCGCCCAGGATCCCCCAAGACGGGCCCAAGAGACGGAACTCCAAATGACATTTCGAGCTTTCCGTTCCAAGGACGCCTCCGAGACCGCGAGCGGGTTCCCAAAAAGCCTCCAAGAATCTCCCAAGAAGCCCAAAACGGAACCCCAAGAACCCCCAAACGGCCCCCAATACACCTCAAGAGGTTTCAAAATTGCCTCCAAGAGGCTCCCCAGGCACCTGCCGAGAGATCCAAACAGCGCCGCATTGACAACGAGCTCTCACGCAAACGGCAGATATGAGGCTGTATGTTGCCGAACCCTGCCAAATCCCAAAGCACTCCCCAGAGGGTCCTCCGAGGCAAGTTTTAGGTGTTTGCTGCCGAAGCAGCAAACACCTAGAAGCCCCGTGCAACAAACAAACAATTCTTCAGACAACTCCCCCGAAAGTCCAGACGAATCGCCCCCACACTGCTCCACGAGAGCTGCTTCAGCCCCAACATTCATCATTCCGAACGAAACGACTCAGAAGAAAAGCCCCCGCCCCCGCAGGCCCACACTGCAAACGACCACTCGGCCAGCCGACAGCGCTGACACAGTTTGGGCCGGCGGAATGAGCGAAGCGATTAAGTCCGCCCGCCCACTGGGCTGAGGGGCGTGTGAGACTTAACTACAAGGGCTGCTTCCAGACCTTCAGCTCCCCCCACCCCCCACTAATCCCCCCCCTGAGGCCTCCGCAATTCCGTCGCCCGGCTGCACTCAATCCCCTTTTCGGGCCTCAAGAGGGCTTCCAGACGGCGTCCAAGACGAGTTCGATTTTCAGTCCGCTTCCCATATGGTTTTCGGCCGCATTTCGGCTCGATTTTGACCCCGTCGGGAGCCCCTCTTGGCTTCTAATATCGACACCTGGGGCCTTCAAGAACGCCTCTTGGGCTCAACACCGCGAACAGACTGGAAACTTTGAACATATACACAAAACCATTAGTTTTTATTGATTGTGGCATCGCCAGGGGTCGCCCGGACGCCCCTTCTGGCTGACTTCCGGGCTCGCCTGGGGCATTTCTCAGCGCGTCAATTTTGACGCCGTTTTTGGACACGCTCTGGGCTCAATTTCAACCCAACTTAAGCCCAAAACGGCCCAGAACGAGCTAGTTTTTACCAGAAGACGGACGGGGCTGCGGTCCAATGCGGGGATGCTCGCGCTTGGGTCGTCCACAAGCCCGTCTGGCCGCCTCGGGCCCGTCTTGGGCCCCTTTGGGGCTGTTCTCCGGGCCCTTTTCGGCCCTTGTTGGCGCCTTTAGGGGCCGTTTGCGGGGCGTTGTTGGTTGGTCTTGGGCAGCGTTCTGGCTATCTCTGGCCTCTTGCTGTGGATAAGGAGCGAAGGTCAAGACGGCCAGCGTGCATATCACTGATCCGTTGGTAATGATAGCACGGCCGACGACAAATCGACAAATAGAACATCGGTCAGCCACACGGCATACCAGAGTCCGACCGACGATGGGATGGAGGAGGAATTGAACGCATGACAAAATACAAAACACACCTGTGCGGGAGTCAATCACCACTGTCGCGATCTAATCATCCCGTCTTGGCGCCATCTTCGCTTCTGGGTCTAAAATTACGTTCGGCTATGTTTATCCCGTCTTGGAGCCGTCTTCGCCTCGTCCGCCGAGACCTGGAATGGGCGGGCGGTGACCGCGAAGCGTCTTGAATAAAGATAGCACGAAAACGGAAAGCACTGTTTAGGTCGAGCCCCGACGAGGTGTTCTGGCGCATGTGCGAGGCCTGCTGCAAGGGTCGGCCGCGGCCGCCGCTGAGGCTCCGCCTCGGCGGCGGCACGTGGGAGGACTTCGCCCCTGTCGTCCCTGAAGAAGGAAAGACGGCTTGCCCTCACGGGCGACACTTCTCTGGGCCTCCCAGATGGGTTTGAGTATCAGTATCGTTTAACCGATCCCCAGCCTCATTCCCATCCCCTTCGAGACCCCCACTAAATCACATCCCCAGTTGGGGATACACACCTCGAAGCTCGAGGGGGACGGCCTGTATCCCCATCTGGGGGGTAAATCGGCCAGTGGGGCCCAGGCCACCCCGCTGGGGATAGGGATCGGATAAACGATGCTCAGAGTAGATGGGGTCCGAGGATCGCGCCGCATCGGTGATGCATTGGCGATGCGGCTCGATGTGGTTCTCCATGCCGGCGTCGCCGATGCATCGCCGATTCATCGCCAACGTCGCCGTTGCGTCGCTGATGCATCGTCGATGCATCGCCGAAGTATTGGCGATGCGGCACGATCCTCCGACCCCATCTACTCGGACCCCATCCAGGAGGCGTCTAACTTCGCCCCCCATCCCCGAGTTGCCCCCAAAAAGTCAGGTCGCTCAGAAGAGAGGGGGGGGGGGAAAGTCGGGAATACGCCGTCGGGGGATCTTCCGCCACACGCACCCCTACAGAGGATGTGCGCCCCCCACCGTATATCTCACAATTTGGCCTACAATCTGTGACCCTGGGGCCATCTCGGGCGGAGATAGACAGATCGTTCCGAACGCTCCGATAAGGCCGCCCCGCACAGCACATCTTCCAGAACCGCGCCCGATCTCAAAGATCCTCAACTGACCCTCGTCCAATGCTGTCCCTGTCCTGGCCTCGTCTTATAATCACAGATCGATGCGGCTCGAAAACTGCCGCAGAGAGACTAGGGTTCCAGTCGTGATTTGACCCGAAGTTGTCGTTGTTCGCAACGTTGGATCTCAGCAGGGACGTTGTCGGAGGTCCGCACGGATTTCTTGGATCGGGGTTGGACTCCGGGCGCGCGGAGCGCGCCGGTGGCGGTGCCGGAGGCGCTGTCAGGGAGTTCCAGCGCAGATCGGATGAATCCGTGCGGTCCTCCGAGAGTTCATGTCTGCGTCGTTGTTTCTTCTTCTGCATCCACATGGCGGAGAAGCGCGGGCTGCAAGTGGCTCGAGGGCAGCAGGCAAGCGACTCCCAGGCGGTGGACATGGTCCTACTGTAGGCGCTGGGTCACAGGGCAGCCAGGGCCCCGGTAAAAAAAAGTGCGGGCGGCGCCACCTTGGTTCCACCAGGGGGGGCTCAGTTGGGGCAGTTGTTCCCCGAAATTGCGCGGCAGGATGTCCCCGAGAGCCCTGCCAGCGCGCACCGCGTGGGCGCGACCCTGCGGGCCCCGCGCACGATAAGTAGGCGGTACACCGCGCTCGTGCTCGCTGTCTTCCAGACTCCCTGTCGGGCAGTCGCGACGGCGGACGCTCGAAGGAGAAGTTATACGTTGTCGGAGCAGCGGTGGCAGGTCAAACAGAAGGTCACTGTAATAACTATAAGTACTCATAGCGTCCAGTTGCGCTGCCGCGTGAGTTCGCCACCGCGCTTGGGCTGGCATATTTGGGGAGAGGGAGTGAGAGCGTGGAGCGGGGTCGTCCGTCCAGGCGCACGGAACCTGCCCGCCAAGGCAGGCAGTTTTGTGTTTGAGAGCCCCCAAAACGCTAGGACGTGGTCAACCATGCTGGGCCCGATGCGTGGGGGAGCCTTGATGATCCAGCTGCCTGCGGCAAGTCCCACCATCGAGCCAGCCAAGCGTGTTCGGCGGCTATCTTTCGAAGGGGCACCAGAGGCCGTACTTGCCAGGGGGCGCCTCAACGTGCCAGGGGGCAGCCCAAAATCGTTAGGACGGGTTCGAACAAATGAAGCCATGCTGGGCCCGATGCGTCGTTCAGCCCCGACTATTGTTTCGGCGGAAACAAGCAACCCCACACACCAACCGCTGCAAGCTCGATGGCGGATAACGGGCGTCCAGGTCGCTGGGCCCAGGGGCGGCCCGTTTGATAAATCCCCTTTTTCCCACAATTCATGATAGTAGCAGAGTGTCAAGGAGTCATTTGGGAATCTTTGGCGGATTCTTGCGTCCTCATGAAGCTTCCAAGAGGGCTCACGAGGACGCCCAAACCCCGGCAAGACGGCCTAGAATGGCCCAAGGCGTTCCAGGAGGATTTCAGGACGGCCTCCAGGGACGGCCTCCAGAAGATTCCAAATTCTTCCAGAAGCGTAAGGACTTTAAGGGTAGCTCTTTGGGAAATGTTATTTTGGATCGGGAGTATAGCTCGCGCGCCATTGCCTTTGGCTCAAGGCACGCGCGCCCTATTTGCCCGGACACTGCTGGTGTTCGCTATGTGCTGGAAAGATCACTACATCGATCTTATCCGATCTTATCCGTCCATTCCCCATACTGAACTACCCCAGCATGGCATTGGACGCTATCTGCCATCCGCTTCCCATGGGATCGGATGCTATTTGACTTACCATAGTCACTTCATACTTGGTAGCGGAGCTGGCCGCACTCTCGTGTGGTCAGCTCTTGCTCTTCTTATCCTCACGCTATGCGGCACGATCTTCGTGACCAACTACCACCCTGCGCCACCACTCCAACTACATTTACGAGGATCAATTCAAGAGCAAGAAGCAACACGAGAGGAACGACGTCTAGACAACAACATTGGTACCATATGCGCTTCATCACTACGCTACTACCAACCGCTCGGCAACGAGCCAAAAGCGCAGCACTTGAAGCAAAGGCGGGGAGACCCGCAAGACAAAGCGCCTCGAAGACTCAACAAGGGGCTACCCCAGCGCGGCAACGCGCCTGATAACCACCCATATCTTCACAGCCTTGGGTTGGTTATTTTCGCCATCATATGGCTTGCGCTGGGGGCAACAATCGGACACATGCGTCGAGGAGACAACAGCACCGATGGGCAAACACATGGCCCATACTGGGACCCTCAAGGCAACGCACCTTCCCGCGAGTACGTTTATGAAGTCAACGCGCGGCTCAACGTCACAAGCGGACGCGTGACGCCACAGGCCCAAGCAGCCGCCAGACAACGCGGCCTGGGCGGCCTAGCGAGGACACCCGCCATGAGGGTACCACCTGGCATTATAAACTACGGTGCGGACATCGACGGTGCCCACACCGACCCAGTAACCTACATCATGTTCCTCTTAAGCATGAAGTTCGAACGCCTGGAAGATGAGCGCCAGCTCACTCCAGGCACACAGCTCATCGACTTGCATGTGCCTCACGGGGAGCGAATCGATGTAACTCTCACTCGATTTGAGATGGCCCGTCTTGAGGCACAGTCGGTGGGGTTTGACCTTCCCAACTTCCAACTGCTCGCTAATATCCCATTCCGCGCCCTAGGCGTCGGCAACCAGAGAGCCACGCAACTCTTGCAACCACTTAACCACCAAATGCCCCGAACACAACAACAATATGATGAGTTGTGTGAAGGGATGCGTTCGATCGGCCATTTGTCAGAACGGTCTCCTGGCAACGTGGGACCAGTGTTTGGGAGGGGAAAGGGGAACTGGTAGTGGAAATTTTTATACTACCTTAACCACCGAAGCTCAGCCTGGCAACGGGCCCGCAAGCATATGGGCCGACGAGCCTGGAGAGTCTACTGCTCTACTCACAGGGGATCGATCACAACCAAGCTGGGCAACCAGCCCTCCTCCTAGAGAACCTCAACCACAACGCTCCCGATGGGGGGAAGCGAATCCCCTAAACGACTGTGTATCCACCTACCTAGGTAATGGCGATGTCGACTCTGGTACCGACACCGACACCATATCATCAGATGGTATTGAACCCTTAGGCTGGCCAGATATCGTGCAAATGGAAGGTGGCAATCAACGTGCCGAACACTTATCCTGGCTATTAGAACAGGCAAAGCGGAGGTGGAGGAGGTTCACCCGAAAGCCAGCGCGTCGTGCTAGGAGGAGGATGCGGAGGAGCTTCAAAGGACAAGGTAAAGGCAAACGGGGTCGCCGTAGGTTGAATGGACGAGGCATCTCGGCTTTCCTCCAGAAGCCCCCAGATGATCAATATGATGAGATATTTGTCGGGGGGGAAGGTCGCGGCACAGGCCGTGGAGATACCTCAGGCACAGGTAAAGGTAGGCGGGGGAACCCGCGAGGTAGAGACGGCCAGATCCTAAAGTGCCATGGGTGTGATAGCACCGACCATATTGTAAAAGATTGTCCAGCGAAGGGAAACGGACAGGGCAGATCGACCGAAGTCCATATTCGGCTCAAGCGAACCAGTTATTGAATATCTGAGCCTCCAAGATTTCGAGGCCATGGAACACATATTTTTCACTTGGGCCAGCAGCGTGGGCAACTTGGATGAGCTCGAGGCGCACGGCCACGGACTGTACTCGTACTACCTCGAGTACCTCCGCCGATTTGTTCTCGGAAATATCGAGCTTACGCCTGTGGAGAATGGTACGCTGGGAAACCAGCCCTTATCCTTCTTCGTCTGGATGTTCGGTAACCCAGGCAACATCATGGCCTACGAGAGCAGTGACGAGGATGTCACTGTCGAGGCCTCGCCTTCGGAGGTTGACTAAAACCTTCGACATCAACCCGACCTTATGCCTGGAAACAGGCCCACTCCAGTATATCCTCCAAATTATGCCGGCATGATGGAATTAGAATCTCAAGCATTCACGACGGGCGTGCCAGGGAACCCATACGTACCACCTGGCTCGCTCGCTCCAGGCGAGTACGGACCGCGCACGATACTGCAGACCCTCATGCAGATGCATGCTGTATTGGTCGTAGCATATCCCGAGAGTCAAGAGAGTGTCGAGAGTGGCCACATGATGCTACAAGACACCGATGCCTGTGACGACTCGGAGTTGTGCTGGCGGCCCTCACTCTTATTGATAGCGTGCACCTTGAGGACGTGCAGCGACGTGCGTGGTATTCCAGAGGAAGATGGCGCCAAGCCCTTGAAAGGGCCATCTCCATGCGCGGTCAGGCTCTCCCTCCGCCGGGACGGGGTCTCCAGGCGGCGGGGCTACAGCCTAACCACACGGCCATGCGAAATATTATTGGGCAGCCTGCGCTCGGTAACGAGCCTAAGCCGACTACCGTGCCGCCGACGCCGGGACAGCCAAGCGATGCTCAGACGCTTGTACAGCAGGGAAACCTGCCCGCGCCGTCTGAACCGATGACCGTCGTCATCGGCAACCCTATGTCAGAAGATGAAGAGGGCGATGGATGTGGGATGTGCGAGGACGAGACCACCATCCCCATGATGGAAGCCAATGGTGAAGACGAGGAGGTGGATTTCAGTCCCGACCGTCCAGACGCACCACCACCTGCACAGGAACCAATTGTGCCAGACTCCAGTCAGCAGGGAGACCTGCCTGTCCAAGATGTGCCGCCTGCGGCCCCGCAGGAACCCCCGCCGGCTCCTGTTCAGGCCGCGTCGGCGGCTTCATCTGATGAGCACGCCAGGAGGTCTCGCACTCACCCACGCCTTAGGGGAGAACCTCACCCGCAAGCACGGCTTCCCCGCGAATGGAGGCAAGCAGGCCCAACAGAGCACGCCGCTCGGCGGGGGAGTCAACTGCTCGCCTACAATGACCCTAGGCGCCAAACGGGTGAGCACTCTGCCTTTGGTAAAGGCAACCCAGCTTACAGGGATGCCCAATGCAGGTCCATACAGGGTGGCTACCAGCTCGCGACGAATATTCGTCGTCATGATATAGAGGTAGTACGGACGCAGCTGCGAAATTTCATTGCGGCACGCAAGCTATACAGGCCCAACGCGGTCTGTGGGCCGTGCTCAGAGCCATTCCAGGAGCACAGGCCTGGGTGTCCTGTAGGGCTCAACGAGGGCTTGAGCCCGAATAGAGGCCACACTCCTGCCAAGGAGGGTCATCCACCGTTGGTTCCGATGACTCAAGCAGAGGTCGACGAGATCAACCGTCGTCTCGGAACAACGGCTCATAGGAGCCCGATGGCCGAGGAGGTCCAGCCTCCGAAGGGACTCGCGCCTATGACCCAGGAAGAGAAGGATGCGCTCAATCGCACTCCTGGAATGCGGGGGAACCCGCGCGGCGTCTCCAGTCAGGCCCAACAGCCAGAAATGATGGATGACGATGAGCAGAGTGCACAGCAAGCCGCAGCAGATGCGGAGCGCAAGCGAATAGCAGACGAGTGCACCCGCGAGGCAACTCGCCAAATGCTGCTGGAGTCCCAAAAGATCTATATGAAGGGGGCAAGGAAGCCCCCACTCCAACCGAAGGCCAAGAGCGAAACACCTGCACCCAGGACGCCTTCGGGGGAGAAACAGAAAACGCCGGCCCGCTCAGAGGAACTCGGGTTAGATGTGCAGATGG